AACGTACATAGTTTACACGCTCAATTCAGCTCAGTGCCACGGACAAGATTTCGGCTATAAGGGAGTGGCCGGGGGTTTTAGCCAATGACACGCAGGTGAGACAATTCGTGGGAACTATCAACTATTGCACGATATTTATGGGACCTGATTTTGCAACGGTTGCCCGACCCCTTGTAAATCTCACTCAGAAAGGTGCCACCTTTCAGTAGGCCGACGGGCATACCCAAGCGGTGCGCAGGTTGAAGCAGCGCCTCATTGATTACACAACCTTGCAGGTTCCCGGCACCTCGAAACCGTTCCAACTGCATGCGGACGTCTCGGGATACGCCGTGGGGGCAGTACTGGAACAAAAAGGACAACCCATAGGTTTCCTGAGCCAGGAAATGACGCCAACACAGGCGAGATATCCCATTTATGATCAGGAGATCCCAGCCCTCGTTTCTGCCCCAATTAAGCTTGCACATCTTCTACGGGTCTCCAAAATAACGGTCTTTACGGGTTCACGAGGCTCCCACGTACCTTCAGCAACTCAAAGCCTCTGGGCGTACTGCCCTTTGGTTTGACTTTCTGGCGGAATTCCCTGATCTCACAATTATCTACGTGCCAGGAGCACGCAACCAAGTAGCTGATGTCCTATTACGTATTCCAGAAACATCCTCTTCACACAGCTCACCACCTCGTCCTCGGGCACCGACAAGGCGGCAAGATATCATCGCGTCTATAGTGCCGGCAGATGACCAGGTAGTTCTTCCCCCAAGAACCAGGTGACGGTAAGCGAACTACCCGGAGCTATCGGGACTCCGAGAGCGGGCTTTCAGCGAACGACGTTTCTCACCACCGTCTCCACCGGTGGCAACCTCACCCCCCTTAAAAACCGACTCAGTTCCCGTCCCCACGCCTCCGGAGGAACCACATCAGGCAGAAGCAACGCCCAGGCAACCGCAACAGCTGCCCCAGCCGCAGCTACCTCCTTCCCTCTCTTTGGATTGGCCAGCCGCATACCCCAGATGCCCAATTTTTGGCATCCCCTATCAAGCAACGGCATCTAGGCAAGGGGAGGTTGTCCAGGTAGAAGTCCAACATCGACGTTACAACTTGCGCTTTATCCCACCATTTTTGCAGATTTGTGTCAACGGCACTTGGCTGATATATGTGCCCCAGTTTCTTGAATTGCTTGCACACGTCCTGTATGGCAATCATGACCATGTTACTGCAGGGCTTCAGGGCCAGAAGA